CAGTGACATGCAGTCAAATATTTCGCCAAACAGTCCTTAGGGATGCGGTGACACGCAGTCAGATATTTCGCCGTACAGATCCGCCACTTTTGGCGCTCATAAACAATCAAAGCTCTCGTGCTGCAGGAATGAGGAGGTCTGCTGAAGGCGCGCAGCTGGCGTGCTGGGAGGAGTTTGCGTCTTTAATAAACTACGGCAGTTTGCGATCACTGAACAGTAAGAATGATTAATAAATCCATATCAAACAGTCCCTTAAAAGTCACGTCTCGCTTTCGGTTTCGGGCTTTGGCGCGTTTCGCGCTCACACACAAGCGTACCGCGCCAAAGCCCAAGTGTACCGCACTCAGGCACACCTCTTCCAACCGGGCCAGGGCCGGCCAAGTGAACCGTGCTTGAGCCCGATTCAGCGCACTCACACTTCTCAAACGATCCGGGAAACGGGCCTGGGCACGGTACGGATGGCATAGTGTGAGTAGGCCCCTAAACGCAACCATAATTGGAGGATGAGCAAATCATAGTAAACTGTATGAATGAGATTATACAAACTCATACGAATTAGCCACTTAATCAAAAAGTTACGAATTGCGGTGAGATTGTGTTACCAGGTCTGCCTGGAGCACTTTTAACTCAGCTTAGCATAGACCCTTGAAATGGACCATTAGCATCTCGTATCCTGAGTTTCAATAATTTTCCTAGTTAATCTTGACACTTCTGTCGTTACATCATGTACTAAAACTAACAGAAAATGAAACATTGCTATTTTCTAGACTTTCATGATATTAATTTTTTGATTTACACTTATAATTTTTTTGGTCTGAGACTGCAATACATTTGGCAGGATTTTAATCTCATGGCACTGTATAATATTACTGCACCTGCTGCAGCCATACTTTTTATTCTTTGTCGGTCTAAGTAACTTTTTAGAGAAGTTGTAAAATGACGCAGTTTTCAAAAAAAGTGTAGTGTTTCATTATATGTACACATTTCCAAGTTTAAATAATTTCGTTGCAATGTTTAAGCAGCTTAATGAATGCTAATGAATTTCAATTAAAGCATTTTAACTGATTTGTCTAGAGATTTGACTATACTGCTAGGAAAATCAAACAAGTTATTCTATACTGTATTGTTGCATGTAATGTACACAAAAAAGGAATTAATTTAATTTATATTTCTAAAGATATGGCTCTAGAGAATGTACTGCAATTTGTCACCCGCAGTCACACGCTTTACTGCGTCTGTAAAGGCCACTTTTCATTAAAAAAAAAAAAAAAAAAAAAAAAAATTGCAGTAACCACCAGATGGCGCAAGGAACAACTGATTTTCCATTATCTTAGTTATCATGCTTGTTTACATGTAAATGCATGGACAGTATTTGTGTGCGAGCGCTCGATTCAGCTCCCTTGATGCCTCGAGCGGCTGGGTTTCTGTATTTAATTTTGGAGATAATTTGTACATATTTGTATTCACATAAGAATACAACAGAAAAACATTAAACGTTACAAATTACGTGTCCACTTTTGAGGGCTCAACACAATTTCATAGATCTAAATAAAATAGCCTAAGCGATATTGAAATTATTTAAAGAAATACAAATATCGGATATAATAAAAACAATAAATAAACATTATAAAACAAACAAGCTATAACGATTTAGGAATATACAGTGTAATATAAATCAATTACATACACACCCAGAACTAAATAGTCTCTGTGTTGTCGCAAATGTACTTTATAATCAAACTTTTGTAACTAAGTATTTTTTCTTGCCTTCTTTGTTAACATGATGGTGGTGATATTCAGAGCTTGTCAAAACGTATCTATATCACTATGATCAGATGCTTTCTTTAGGGCTGCTTGTTATTTTTTTGTGTGTTATTTTTTTTTCTTGCGCGGAAAGCTTGCTGCGTATATTTATATACTAATTTATTATTGCTCACAACAGCATGAATGACGTTGGGATGTTTGTTAACCGTATATTCTTGCAAAAGTATTTTTTTGTCAATTATAGTTATAGCCAAAAAATAAATCATGTTTCTTGTGCACACAAGTGCGAGAATGAACAAAAAGTAGCAGACTGCAGTTCACTTAATGGCCACTGGTGTTGCTAATAACAATCATTTCTGAATTCTACTGTACATTTAATGGCAATATGTGACAAAATATGATAAAATAAATCAAAGCTTATTTTTTATCTTAGTAATATGCATTGCTAACAACTTTAAGGGTAACATTTAGATTTGTTAAAACTCTCAGATAGGCGACGCGGTGGCACAGTAGGTAGTGCTATCGCCTCACAGCAAGAAGGTCGCTGGTTCGAGCCTTGGCTGGGTCAGTTGGCATCTCTGTGTGGAGTCCACAAGTCCAAAGACATGTGGTACATGTGAATTGGGTAGGCTAAATTGTCCTTAGTGTATGTGTGTGAATGTGTGTATATGGATGTTTCCCAGCAATGGGTTGCAGCTGGAAGGGCATCTGCTGCATAAAACATATGCTGGTTAAGTTGGCAGTTCATTCCACTGTGGCGACCCCGGATTAATAAAGGGACTAAGCTGAAAATAAAATAAATGAATGAACTCTCAGATATCAGATTTTCTAAATGTTGTATCTTGACCAAATACTGTCAAATTATAACTCGATATTCACTTAACTTATTTATTAAGCTGTCAGATTATATATAAATCTCAATTTTCAAAAAATTCCAAAAACTGGTTTTGTGGTTCATGGTCACATATATAGTGTACACACTTTTATTGTATAGATAAAATATAATGTATATCACTGTTATTGTATAGATAAATTTAGTTGGGTCGGAAAATAATTACTTCTGGATTCAACTGGAAAAATAGAAATAAAAAGCAAAAGTTTTGAATGACATAAGGTTTTATTACGAGGTTTAGACTAAGGTAAGTAAGGTCTTACCTTGTTTACATGTGCCAGTTGCTATGAATTAAATTGTAAATGAACAGTTTTGAGAGATGGGTGGATGGATGGATGGATAGATAGACAGATAGGTAACACTTTATAATAACAGTACATGAATAATGATGTGCTAATATGTAACTTAAATGTTGCTTCATTATAAACTACTGATAAGTTAAGCTTGTGCTAATCATGATCTAACATTAACTACAACATGAATCACACGAGATCATATTTAAATAATTGCTACCTTAATTACTTATTAGGACATGTTTGTTAATTAATGTGTTGATTAACACTAGTTTTAAATGTAAATGCATGAAGGTAATGTTAATGGTGTAATAATGTTATTGGTAATGTATGAATGTTAAATGTTACTAACACAAACTCTTGTTAATGTATCCATGTCATGACTTTACTTAGAGGGGCACATTCTCATTAACCCATTGGTAACTAATCCTGAACTAATCTGAAATAATTTTTCAGTGTAAAGACACTAGGCTCACATGCATGACTGTTATGTTTAAGCATAGGGGTTCATTACTAGTTAAGAATGAGTAAATGATAATTTTCCCCTCCAAGTAAAGTCATGGCATGAAGATACATTAACAAGTCACAAGTTCATGTTAGTTACATTAAGCTGAAACTAAAGTGTTTAATACATTTATACACCAAATGTGAGGTATATGAGCCAGGAAGGCTCGTAGTGGGTTCTCAAAGTATATTAAAAAAATGAGAAAACCTCAAAATGATGGCACAACTCACTGATATAACGTGTAAAGTGATGGTTTATTTACAGTGTACGAGAGTGATACCCAAAACCCAGCAAAGTAGCAAAACAAACAAAAATAAAAGAACAAATAAACAACAAACAAAACAATAAATGTTCAATCACAATAAAAACATATAAGTCACAGATCGTTTACGGCACCACAGTAGCTCGCTCGTTCGCTCGCTAGGTGAACTGACAATACAAACAAACATGTTCTAACAAGTAATTAAGGTAGTCATTATTCACACTTGAACTTGCGACTTGGGATTAGTGCATGCCTTAACTCATCATTAGTTCGATAAAGTAATGTTTAGTTTATATATTAGTTACTAATAATTAGTACATTATTGGTCATGTACTGTTATTGTAAAGAGTTACAGATAGATGGATGGATTGATGGATGGATGGATGGAGATACGGACGGACGGATAGATACAGTAGATAGCACAAGTATATGGACGAGCATAACTGTCATGTTTAAACACAGGAATTCATGAGAAGGAGTTAATAATAATGTGCCCTTCCAAGTAAAGTCATGGCAAGAAGATACATTAAAAGTCATGAGTTTATATTAGTTACATTATGCAAAAACTAGATAACACAATTATACATTGCATAATACATAATGCATTAATTATTATTAATTATTAATTAACATGTTCTATCAAGAAATTAAGATAGTTCATAATAAAATACAGTTTAGTATGTGTAAGTACATCATTATACATGTGCTGTTATTGTAAAGTGTCACAGACAGACAGACAGACAGACAGACAGACAGACAGACAGACAGACAGACAGACAGACAGATAGATAGATAGATAGATAGATAGATAGATAGATAGATAGATAGATAGATAGATAGATAGATAGATAGATACTTGAATCAATGGATGGATAGATAGATCATTAGAAAGATTGTGTCCTCATACTTTTCACCACATATGGATTTTGCCATCTTAAATGTCTGTCTCATGTGCAGTGAAATGGCTTCTGCTCTCAGATCTTAATTTGGTCCATTCTGAGCTGTCACATGTCTGCAGTCTCTGTATTTATGTCTCAGTACTGTGAGTGTAATGCTGGGAAGGTAATTGCCTCTTAACAGTGTAGAAAGCCGTTCAGTCTTCGAAAAGTCAGGGAAAGTAGGATTTCTCCACAGCCCGGCTCAGTTGATGGTGTTTTACAGTTCCTCTAACTTGAATGAGTCATAAAGAGTTTTTTTTTCACAGATCAGGAGGTAAGTACAGTATCTGTTGTTTCATTCCACACAGTGATGTTTCTTTTCTTTAAAACTTGCTTAATTTCACAGATGGCAATGTTGGCGTGGATGTTACTGCTCACTGTGCGTGTGTCAGGACTGTCCTGGGGCCAACGGACTGAACCCATGTTTACCTCAGTAACTCAGAGTGTTTTCCCTCCTGACTATGAGAACAATCCAACGCAGCTCAACTATGGTGTTGCTGTCACTGATGTGGATGGAGACGGGGATCTGGAGATGTTTGTGTCAGGGTGAGTGTTCTGGATTTCTGACAGATTGCATACATTGGTTTCAGAAGAATAATGAAGAAGCGATGCATTTTTTTGTTTGACATAAAATACTTCAGTGTTTTAAAGTTCAGTGTTTTAAAGTTACAGTGTGTGGTGCCTTGTGCAGTTTAGGGGAACTTACATTTTTTGCAATAGTGACAGTAAATATATGTTAGCCAACATTACATTAGTTTTGTACTTGAAAATAATATTTCTAGTAGAAAGAGAAATGTCAAAGCAATTAATTGGGCGTATTTGTAAACCATTTGTGATATGATTTGGATCTTGGTGGATTTGTGTTGATGAAATTTGATGTGTTTGGAGTGCTCAGTGTTTGGTTTGAATTGCACTCAAGATTGAAATTAAGTGCAACTGACAGAATTGTATCTCTAGGGAAGCCAGAATTTGTTTTTCCTTTCTATTAAATGACAGCCGAGGTTGATTTAGGATAGGTCAGTGAAATACACCAACAAGGACGTGCCTTGTTGGAAACAGGAGACAAATAAATGGGCTTTGGTTATTCAGTACTCCCTGAAGGCATGTTTATATTTGAGTTAGGATTTCAGAGAATATATGGTCCTATTAAAATTATTTTTTCTACCCCATTAGCATTATGTTTTGGGTTTAAAGTATTAATCTAATAACAATAATGCCTGCAGGAAGAAACACACACACACATACAATTTGGTTTCTCATGTGTCATGAGGATTTTACATTGACATTGATTTTTCTACTCTACTGATTCTGTCCTTTTACCCCAACTCGACCCTAAAACCCAACACTTACATGAAGCAATCTACAGTTTTAGTATTGAATGAATTATTCTAAAATACTTAATTCTGTGTTAGTAATTTTACTCATGTGCACAAAAAAGTCCTCACAATGTCAAAATGACTGGTATATCCAAACTTGGTGGGATAATGCACACACTCACTTTAAATAAGAGAATAATATATAAACACTTAAAAAAATGTATTCTTGGCGTCACGGTGGCACAATGGGTAGCACAATCGCCTCACAGCAAGAAGGCCGCCGGTTCGAGCCTCAGCTGGGTCAGTTGGCATTTCTGTTTGGAGTTTGCATGTTCTCCCAGTGTTCACGTGCGTTTCATCCGGGCACTCCCCACAGTCCAAAGACATGCGGTACATCCGCTGCGTAAAACATATGCTGGATAAGTTGGCGGTTCATTCCGCTGTGGTGACCCCATGTTAATAAGGGAAATAAGCTAAAAAGAAAATGAATGAATGAATAGTTTAATCTTTGCCATTTCCCAATACTGGGTTGCGGCTGGAAAGACATCCACTGCATAAAACATATGCCGAAATAGTTGGAGGTTCATTCTGCTGTGGCGGCCCCTGATAAAAAAGGGACTAAGCCGAAGGAAAATGATAAATGAATAATCTTTGTCATTCAAAATTTGCATCAAATTTTTTTAGATCAGTGGTTTACAAAATAACCAGATGATGATGACAATGATGATGAGCACTATGCTTTTGCAGCACCAATATGGAGCAATGTTATAAATATGGATTTGGAGAATTATTGCGCAAATATGTACCCTTTAAAAGGATACTGATCCAGTGACAGTTATCTCTGAGAGTGTATAGTCAACAAATTCAACAGAAATCACTAGTCTTTCACCGCTCTGCAGGGATCTTGATCAGCTCTTCTTCTGTTCCTTTCCACAGTTCACTGACTGTAGTTTCTCAGCAAGGGTTTTCCAGAGATTTTCAATCAGGTTTAGTTCAGGACTCTGGGCTGTCATTTTATTATTTCAGTGTGGCAAGAGGCTCAATATCTATTTTATGCAATAATCCAGTTTTGCGGATAAAGTTAATTCGCAGTTTTGAATGGAAACCAAAAATGCGTATTAACTTTATGCGCAAAACTAGATTATCGCATAAAATACGTGCAAATAAAGCAGCATTTCTATCCAAGGAGTCAAATCTAACAATATTGTCACTCCCTTATTAACTGGTCCCAAATATCAACAGTAAAATCAGAATTTACTGCGGTAGGAAAAGCAGTGTGAATCTTTTCTTCATTTAATAAATGACTTGCACCTGAGAAGGCAATCCTGACAATCAGTGAATGCACAGTGGCGTTTGAAGGTGTGAGATGCAGAGCATAGACGCTCTTCATTCTGGAGGTCATTGATAATATATTACATAAATACTGAGATGTTTAAGGCTTTAAGAATGACCAAAACAATATTTCAGATGTTTTACAGTGTGCTCAGCCTGCTGGTTTATCCAGTCGCACATATTTTTATCATCACATGATCTTTCATAACAAAATCACAAGACCTTTTTCATTCCTTTGCAGCGAGAATTGGTAACCAGTTCAGAGCTAAACAGGTTAGGATCTGTCTCTCAGCAAACAGCGTCCCAACAATTAAGAGAATTTGAAATGAAAGTGCAGCCGTGACTATACCATCATCAGCAAAACTGAATAAAAGACTAACTGTGTGTTTACACCAAAAGCGGACCTTTTTCAGTATTTGTCAATGATAATGAACGTGTCTTATCAAATCTACAGTGTTTCAAGTAAAGTTGCTTTCATCAAGTGAACTATAAACCAATTCTCTGTCCACTCAACATGCTCCACAGCCAATGTTACCGTACGTTTACACAGAAAGCGGCAAAAGCGGCAAAGTAGCCGGAAGTCATTCATTTTCAATGAGAGCCGGTGGCGATAAGCGTCGAGGAGCAGCGTGCCGCGTTTTCGCTGGTGTGGGCATCGAGGAGAGTTGAAATCAAGTCAACTTTATGAAAATGAGCTATGACGCGGTTCGGCATAATGTTATAAATATGGATTTGAAGAATTATTGCGCAAATGTGTACCCTTTAAAAGGATACTGATCCAGTGACAGTTATCTCTGAGAGTGTATAGTCAACAAATTCAAGAAATCAGAATGAAGAAGTCTACCGCTTGAGAGGAGTCCAGAGAACACAGACCTGTAAACTTTGGTTCTGATGTCAAATGTTTTCAAGTGTTTGATTATTGCGGTTGCTGGATTTTCAATTATTTACAATGTTTTCTTACAAGAACATGCATAATTTACTGGCGAATTACTAATGTGCATTAATGTAATATATATTTATCTTTAAAAAAGCATGAATCCATGCGATAATACACAACAGTATTGCTTCTTCAGGATATTTCAGGCATGGACACATTAGATAATAAAGTGGAGCAAAGCTACACCACATGCAACTTAATCTTCCATTGTTAAATGAATTTGATCAGAAGTGCGCAACTTTTTCATGCTATAAAGCATGTTTTATGCAGGAATTGAACTGAATGTGACTTTTAAATAGGAGATCAATGTATTGAATTTTGACGCTCTCACCGCTGGAGCTGAAAGAAGACAGCGTCGTTGCCAGGGCGGCCAGAGCGACCTTGGACGTTCTCACCGCTTTTGGTGTGAACGCACAGTTAGTCTTTTATTTAGTTTTGCTGATGATGGTATGGTCACGGCTGCACTTTCATTTCAAACTCTCTTAATTGTTGTGACGCTGTTTGCTGAGAGACAGATCCTAACCTGTTTAGCTCTGAACTGATGACCAATTCTCACAGCAGTGTTGAACAAATTGAGATGTTCTGCATTATCCTGGTCTGTCATCCCAGTATGTCATTTGTCTTTTGTTGACAACCAGCCTTATCAATCCTGTTTTGATGACTTCAAATAGAACTAAGCAGTGACCTTAAATGTTAGGGAATTATAGGTTGTCCTAATTTTTAACTACAATATGTATAATTAATTAATCACGCACATATGACTGTTTTTTCAAAATACAAATCCAATTATAATGTTATAATAATATAAAATAAAATGCTTAGACTTATATATAATTTAATACATGCATAAATTGCAAGTGGTATGAATAGGGTATATTGTCACCTCAGAATTTTAAGGTTCTAGCTGACATTTTTCTCCAAATTAAGTTATTGACATATTCTTATTAAATGACAATGTATTTACATTATGGGATGTTTTTTTATAAGTTGTTTACATTTTAAGACTTTTAATTTACAAAAACAAAAACGGTTTATCGACAAAGTTGGCTCTAGCGCACATATTGTTTGCTATGGAATGCAAAAACTTTGAAGCTCAATATCTCAAAATCATTCAGAACGCAGATAGAACCTTATCATTCCAAGGTGACGATATGCAGAAGCACGTAGAAGGACTTTTAATTTGTCAGTAACCTGAGTCAAACGCTTATGGAGAACTGTATGCCATTACAAAATCGGCATGTTTAAGGTCTGTTTCTTTATAAAAAAACAACGATCTTCACTGCCTTAATGATATAAGCTATAAAGAGGGTCTCAGAATATACAAGAAGCACTGCATTAAATTATATTTTTCCACGCTATGTCTTTAAAATATGAACCTTTAATTTTACTTCAGTATTTCCATTGGTGTTTCTGTGCTTGTCTGCTGATCCTGACAGGTGCATGCATGTAAATGGCTTTTCACCTCGGTTTACGCTTTAACAACTAAATGAACACTGAAATCTATTTAACTGAGTATATCTTTAATAAATTACAGCATCGATGCTGTAAAAAGGAACCATAAAATTAAAAAAAGCCACATTAACTATTCACCTGAAGTTTATCAGTATGGGAAGAAACACTAGCTCGGCATATATCCTATCATATGAAATGAAATATTGCATTTTAATATAATGACTGATTAGAATATGTGGACTGTGTTAGTTTGCTTTAAATGCCTTACATGTGTTATGTATAAACTTATATGTACTTTTTCCCCCTCTTTAGCTACAATGGGCCAAATCTGGTGTTGAAGTATGACAAGTTTAAGAAGAGGCTTGTCAACATTGCTGTCGACAATCGCAGTTCTCCATATTACGCTCTCAGAGACCGACAGGGCAATGCCATTGGAGTGACAGCATGTGACATAGATGGTGACGGCAGGGAGGAAATTTACGTCCTCAACACTAATAATGCCTTTTCAGGTATGTAACGGTTTCACAAACAAGGCACTGAAGCAAATGCTACAGTAAATGGATTTTAGTTTCATGTAATTGTTTCTGTCATTTCATCCAGGGAGAGCGACATACACTGACAAGCTCTTTAAGTTTCGTAATGGCCGGTATGAGGATTTGCTGAATGATGACGTAAATGAACACAGAGATGTTGCCAATCGTGTGGCTGGCCGCTCTGTTGCATGCGTGGACAGAAAGGTGACAGCATTTACAGTTTTTATTGAATTGACCTGGTTTTATTGAATTGATTTATCTTTGTCCCAATGTGATCCCATACGGAAATCTGATGTTTATACAGTAACTATACATGAACTTGTATGTCATATATGTCATTTACATGCAGCATATTACCATACATTTGATTTCTATATGGTGAACTTCAATAACACAAACAGTATCATCTGTAAAAACCAAATAAGTACAAAAAGATATAGTTATGTGCAATGTTGTGCCACAAAATCTCACAGATCATCTGAAGTTCAGGATTTCCATTTATTTTATTGATGGGTTAAATGATTTCCAAGCCATGCTCAGACAAATGATATAAATATTAAATGTATATTATTTATTAGAAAATAGTAAAAACAAAATTAAATGCAGTGTTTATCATATTAAACTAAACAACTTGCTGTTAAATGGTCATAAACACTAAACTGTTTATGACCATTTGGTTTTTTATTTTTATTTGAACAGAGATGTTTGTGTTGCACATGTTAGCATTGGTTCATTTTAACTGTAGGAGAACACTGGTTGATTTTAAGGTTTCAAGAGTTCACACTTTGCTGGTGATTGATTATAAAGCTAGCTTGGCATGTGTCCCTGTTTGAGCTCAGGTAGATCTCGAGAACTGCCTTGCTGTAGTAGCTAATGAACATATAGTGATTGCTCTTAAGCGATAACTACTTACTAGGAGCATGTCTATGGTGCCAATTTGGATTAGTCAGAAGTTGCATGTTTTTGGATGGTGGGAGGAAACTGGGGAGCCCGGGGGAAACCCACGAGAGCACGGGGAGAATGTGTAAACTCCGCACAGAATCGCTGGATGGCTTGGTAAGGATTAAAACCTGTGACATGCTGTGAGGCAACAGTGCTAACCACTAGGCCACTGTGACACCCATCTAGGAAAGGTGGAGGAGTAGGGGTGGAAGGAGGGATTCTTCAAAACGAAGATTGCTGTTATATGGACCTTTTTAGGGTATTTATAGTGGCTTAGGAATCATCTGATTGGTGAATAATTAATTGAATAATGCGAGACCGGCCGCATTATGCAGTTGAATTGGATTATGGGACCTTGATCTTTCTTCCAACAACTTTTTACCTTGAAAAAAGTTACTTGGGTAACATTTTTAATAGTTAAAATATATTGTCTGGGTTGGTGTTGTAAATTATGCTACAAAAACTGTAATAAGCTGCCAGTACCCTTTCTGTTATATTACAGACTTTGTTTCTCTCTATATTATTTCTTCTACATTTTATTTTTTCAAACTACTAAAATGTCAATAAAAGTCACCTTGTAAAACTGTAGAGCTGAATTTTCAACAGTAGATAGAGTTAATTAACTGATATTGTTTTACAGTGTTGTCACTTTTCGGACTTCATGTAAAACAGTTTTGTTTCTTATGAAATTGTGCTGACTAAAACAAACATGTAGCCTGTTTTTATTAAATTCTTTTACGTTTTATGGAGAAAGCAGCTGTAGGGAACTTTTCTTGGTTTTGTTCGACTCTAAAATATTACAAAGAAGAAATTATTGATCTTTTTAAAACTGCATACAGTGGGGAAAATAAGTATTAAACATGTCATGTTTTTTTTTCATAATAGGAGCTGTTGACAAACCAGATTTTGGTGAAAACCCAAACAATACACACATAAAAATAAAGCAAAACAAAAAAAAAAGGAAAAGAAAAATGAGTTATGTGTAATAACAACCAAATGACACTAGGAGAAAGTACTCAACTACTGAAATGTATTTATTACTTTATATGAAGTGATTTTTTTGGTGCTTGCAGCTAAAAGACGCCTCTCATTTGGAAAATTAAGTCACACGAATTGCTTATTTTTACAAAAACTTCAGCGCAAAGTGTAAAAAACTTGATGGTTCTGAATAGGTCTCATTTATCAAATCTGATCTTTAATTTGTATTTTCTATTGGAATCAAGTCAGGTGATTGGCTGTGCCATTTTACAGCTTGATTTTCTTTCTCTGAAAGCATTGGAGAGTTTTTTTGGCTGTGTTTCAAATCATTGTCTTGCTAAAATGTCCACCCTGGTTTTATCTTCATCATCCTGCTAATGTAGATGTTGGACTGAAGCAGCTAATATTCATTTACACTGAGGAAGAGCAGAGGGTTGCCAAATAATTACTGAGAGGTTTCAGCTGCTGACTGGGCTTTCACTGCCTTTCCACACCTCCCTTTCTTCATGTGTTCAAGACTTTTTCTTTGTGTCATTTAATTTTTATTACACGTAACTTAATTTGTAAACTAGTTAGATTTGTTTTCTTGGCATATATGGATTTCTTAGGTTGTTACCAATATCCGGGGAAAATCTCAAGTCAACGGCGTCTTTAGAAAAATGGTGATGTGTTCAATACTTATTTTTTCCGCTGTATTATCGCATGTATAAATCTTTTCAACGCAGCTCATATAGGAACAGGAAAATGTGAATACATTCCAGCAATTTGTTATACTGTAGGTCTATTGATTATCAACAGAATGTCCTAAGAGCAGTGTCGAATGTAAGTGAAAGTGACTTCTGAAGTGTGTCAAGTGATTGTTTACAAGCCATTTCACCCTCACAAAAAAATTCCCTCAAAATCCTCCTCGGCCACCATCATCATCATTTACCGTCCGCCATCAGCGGGCAGTCCTGCCTCCCGCAGCCAGCCAATATAAGTATTCATTTCCAGCGCAATATTTGTCTCTGACACCGAATCATATGCTGTGATAATTAGAAAACTCAAAGGCTCATTTGTTTCTTTTTGTAAGGAGACATATTAGGTGGGAAGTGTAGCCTTAATTTGTCTTTCCGCACGGAGGTTATCAGAATTCCCGCCGTCTGACCGCGCTTTACTAAACCCAGACGCCATGATGAATGGCCAGTCGTGCCAATGATTTGTATTTAGTCCAAAACACAATAAGCTGAACAGCATATTTCTGCAATTACCGTGGGCCTCGTGCTGTTTTGCGGAGCAGTCAGCAGTGAAGGATGCTCAGTAATCCTGGAGGAAGAGCAGCGAGGGATTGAAATGGATTTTTTGCACCCGCAGTCATTTGACTGGGCCGATGATAGTGAGACGGGGCTGCTTAAAAGTATTTCATCAATGATTTTATGATTTACATGATTTAGGATCAGGCTCGTAATGCTTCGGAGAGAAACAAAACAAAACGAGGTCTATGGAATTAAATTGGGAAGCAAAGTAATTCAATAGATAACTAAATGAAAAAAAAAAATAATAAAAATAAAAAAAATAGTACTGTCATTGGATGCCATGCAAAAGTCGATCCCCAAAGAGATGCCTTTTGTTGTAAGTTGAATTTAAGTTGAATCCTGCATATGTTTTATGCAGTGGATGCCCTTCCAGCTCTAACCCATCACTGGGAAACACACATACACACTCATTCATTCGCACACATACACTATGGACAAATTAGCTTACCCAATTCACCTGTACTGCATGTTTTTGGATTGTAGGGGAAACCGGAGCACACACACACACACACACACACGCACGCACACACACACACACACACACACACACAGTTAAAGTCAGAATTATTAGCCCCTTTTTGATTTTCTTTTTTCAAATTTCTCAAATGATGTTTAACAGCAAGGAAATTTTCACAGTAAGTCTGATATTATATTTTTTTTTCTGAAGAAAGTCTTTTTTTTATTTAGTTAGAATAAAAGGAGTTTTTAATCTTGTAAACAAGGTCAAAACTTTTTGCCCCTTTAAGCTATGTTTTCCCCTCATAGTCTACAGAACAAACCATCGTTATACAATAACTTGCCTAATTACCCTAACCTGCCTAGTTAACCTAATGAACCTAATAAAGCCTTTAAATGTCACTTTAAGCTGTATAGAAGTGTCTTGAAACATATCTAGTCAAATATTATGTACTGTCATCATGGCAAAGATAAAATAAATCAGTTATTAGAAATGAGTTATTAAAACTATTATGCTTAGAAATGTGTTGAACAAATCTTCTCTCCTTTAAACAGAATTTGGGGGAAAAATATATACAGATGGCTTACGATTCTGAAGTTTTATAAAATGTATTTAATACTGTATAAGTTAATATAATTTCGAATATTTTTGAATAGTTCATTACACAGAAAAAAAAAGGGTTTACTGCATTTTTAGGTAACTATTTCCAAACAATTTGTATGGGCTAAATTTAAACAAACAAACTATGTTGAACATTACTAAATTTAATTAGTTTGTTTAAATTTAAACCCATTTTAATTGCCTGCAACCTGTTACCTTAAAGAATTCAGTAAACTCAATGTATCATTTTTTTTCCAGTGTATTTAAACAAAACTATTTAAAGTTTTCATTAGTTTATAATACATTACTCTAAATTATAGTCAAATAGTGTAGAACAATTCATTTCTGATAAATCAGAACCCATAATGTTGAAAAAGAGAAGAGTTGTTTTAACATAAAATATGTACAATTTTTAAAAATGAAATGTTTATGTAATTTTAACCAGATTAAGTTTATTATAGGGTGGCTCAGTGGTTAGCACTGTCACCTCACAGCAAGAAGGTCACTGGTTTGATTCTTGACTAGGTCAGTTGGGATTTCTGTGTGGAGTGTCCATGTTCTACTCGTATTCGAGTGGGCTTCCTCTGGGATGTCCAGTTTCCACCAAAGTCCAAGATGCGCTATAGGTGAATTGAATAAACTAGATTGGCTGTAGTGTATGAGTGTGAAAGAATGTGTATGGATGTTTCCCAGTGATGGGTTGCAGCTGGAAGGGCATCTGCATATGTAAAACATATGGTGGGTAATTGGTGGTTCATTCCACTGTGGTGAACTCTATGAATAAAGGGACTAAGCTGAAAGAAAATAATTAAACTAAAGTTTATTATAAGGCAAAAGGCAATTGATAATTGAAAAATATACAGGACAAACAGAACATGTAACAAAACCTCAATCTGATACCTTACAAATGCATTGGGGCATAAATATCATAC